GGTTGTTGATCAGGTGGCTGTTGATCTGTTCGCCGAGCTTGGCAATTGGCTTGCAAACGTTTCGTCACCAAGCGAGGAAACATCATCAGTGCGCGGTTACCAACTGCACGCGTATGCCACAGCTACGGGCTTTTCACAGATCATTTATGTTTAGCACGTATTACCAAAAATGTCGACACTAGCTACCCACGTACGGACCTCACACACATCGCGTTCAAAGTGGCATAAACACGAGTGTAAGTGGTGCACGACTTGACAGAATGGAGTGGAAAAGGTCACGAGATGTGTGTTCCATCCGCCTTAAAGGATGTGATCCGTATTATTCTCCAAAAGTTTTCCTGCTGACACAAGGGTACGACTTATCGCCGGTGATGGCCTCATTACCGGCGCACCAATTAACGGTGCATCGATTTTCTTACCAGTTAGTCAGATCGGCTTATTTTCTACAAGTAAATTGGTTGGTTCATACCTATTCATTTGATTGCAACTGCTGAAACACGTGGGTTGACCCTGGCTACTCTACTAGGATGAGCTGGTGACGAAGTGTGGTGGCATCTATCGTCTGATTTCAGAAAAACAGATACATACGCACAAGGCACAGTGTGACATTATTTATGGGACAACAGCTTCGAATTTATGCACCGTTAGTAGTGTTTTCATCGAATAGTGCTGATCGGTAGATGAATCAACATTGCTTTTTGACTGCTTGCTGTTGGCTGTAGCTCCTCTCCAGATTGTTTGGTGATGCAGACACTTTGGGTGTTTGTGATAAGATAGTTCGAACTGTCTTCCGCCCACTCGTTTCGTTTTATTGTTTTTTACCTGCTCTAGTTAAGTGATCTGAATGACTGGCAATTAGGCACTTTTCTCACGCGATGCTGTTCATTACCCGTTTATGGTTGATTGTTGTTTGTGTCAGTGGTTTATCCCAGTCGTTAGCTTATTTCACAATGTTCTTGGGTTACTTCGATGGAGGAATTTTCATGATTGTTGGATCTGCGCTCATCTATCCCTGAATCCTCCTGATTCTCTCAGAACCTATGTCTACGGTTCGCAATTCGAGCTTTGATCAGAAGACGTCAACGCCAGCTACGGTTGTTACGCGCCACAAACATGGCCGAATTCAAGCGACTTACCGAGGCTCTTCAGATTACTGGTTATGAACATCCAGACCCATACAAGCTCCCGGATACTGACCCCGTTGTAAAACGTAAATTAGCGACTCGTTCAGAATGTTACCAAGTAAGTCTGGGTATTCCAATAACATGTGCTCTCCCTCATTTGTTCATTTGTCCGAAAATTTTCCCTGCTTTTCCGACTATCTCTTCACTCCGTTCTTGTTTATGGTATTCGGGAAATGGAGTCAACGATCCTATTCCAGAATATTTTCATTCTATGGTTCTCTCTAGTTGTTTGTATCCCGAAACGTCAGCATGCCCTAAGGGGAGTACTATACGTGGTTTTTCCCTGTTTGAACATTAGAACCTCCCTTTTTAGTATTGATTATAGTTTTTGCACTGCCATGTATCATCTTTCAATGTTTGTCACTCGCAAGTTTCCTATTGCACAAGAACACTGAAACTGACCGAAATGCTTACCACACGAACCGCTAGTTCGATTATGGATCAATGAGCCTTAATTGGAAACTTTTTTCGAGAGGCCCATAGTTGCCAGACAATGTGATACAGATCGCTTTTCCACTACGACCTCGAAGCTACCAAGCAAATTCGGTCGTATAGGATGAGTGGTTATATCGCGGAGGCACGCAAAGTATACCACATGCTATTAACGTGCACAGCCACAAGACCGTCTTGGGTTGGTGGTTGTTTCAGGGAGATGGTCGGTAGAGGGAATGTCTCACCTGTTTTGTGGTCGAAGTTCATGCAGTCGCTCAGTCCACCGTCGCTTAGCATGTGGTTGACAAAATGAACGAACTTGGCATTTCTCGTTTTTCTCATTGTTTTCCCGAACCCGAAAGTTCTACTCACAAGGCCACTCTGATTGTTTCGCACAATTAGGGATTTTCGAGTGGATGTTCAGTCATCCTTTTTTTAATATTTTATTGAGAGAGCAATATCTATCAACTGGGAAATGCTTTTTCTCTTCAGATGCGTCTCACTAAGCTGGCGAAGCTGAAAATGGAATTCGTGGCCATAGAAAAAGCATTCTACAAGAACAAAGAGGCACAATTAAATAAGATGCTTCAGGATCTAACCATACTGGATGAACCTCACTCCGAGGGAGCTTCTAATTTGGATGTTGCTCAACGTCGACTGGAAGCGCTGTTTCAAGAGGTGGTCAAGGAACGTCAAAACGAAACACTTGTAATCCCCGAGTCCGACAGACTCGAATGGTATTTCAGAGAGGCTGTCGGTCGAGAGCGTTACGCTGCCCGTTTGGCGGAGAAGGCAAGGAAGCAGTCTCTTCGGAAACGATAGTCTTTCTTCTTCCACTGTACATGTATAGTTCTTATCAATGCAATTCCCTCCCGGCTTGACAATATCAACTGCCGCATTAGTCAGCATGAAGTAAAATCCTGTTTAAAAACGAGTTGTATACATTGAGTAATAATATCAATGCGAACTTTATCACCAGACTCCGCATGATTGGCTGATTGTGTTAAGAAACCCAGTTTGATACATTGTTACCGGATCCATCTGGTTTTCTTGAATCATACTCTGTATAATTACAATCAACCAGGCTTAAATGTAGTATGGTCTACTACGATTGACTCTTGTGATGGTTTGAGTCCTTTTTATAGGAAATCCGATACTGTTGCTACCTACGAATGGCCGCCACAGGTCTGATCTTCATCAACTGTACATTGTTGTCACAACGGGGCTGAACTGCTTGCAGCCAAGCAGACTTGATGCCACAGCTCTAGGTTTTCGGTTGCTTCCCGAGATGTTGGTAAAGTGAGAAACGCATTGCGAGTTTGCAGAGGTCACTTTCGAATTTTCGGATAAAGTAACAGATGATCAAAGCATTGTCGATCAAGTAAACTCGTTAGACACAGGAATACAAAGCACATGTTTTAACCACCGAATTGGTCATGTTTCCGACACCTTTCGACTGTGTCTCAGACGCGAGTGGTAAGTAGTTGAGATTCCCGTATGTCTTTAACGTGAAGTGATAATGTTTCAGAACAGTGTTTCCAGTTTGAATGGGTTGGAATGCAGTAGGCAGTTGAGTTTCCTTCCTCCATAAGATCATCATGACTATGACGCAGCATAGTTGCGAAGATAATTTGTCCACTTGGGTAAACTGAACGAGCGTGAACATCTGAATGCAGCAATCCTTCCGCTTTTCGTCCTTGTGGAAAGTACCTTTTGCTACCTGCTTATATCGAGAGGGGTCTTGTCTTATTTATGATGGTTACCAACTCGACGAACCTCGTATAACAGTTATCTTGATCCAACTCCCACTGGATAATTCGTATTTTCACTAAGTAGGACAATACAATCTGCATGCTTGAGGTCGCCGATAATCCTCATCATTATCGGTTGTAAGAACCGCGTACTCGTACAGTTGGTGTAGCTGCCACAGTTTCGTTTACCGATGATTCGGGGAGCTAGGGTAGGTAGGTGCGCATTGGAGGCGGGAGCTGATAAATTGTTGCGCAAACAAGGGGTTGTCTGTGAACCGTCAGGTGGGGGAATTGGAAATGGAGCTATGCATTGAAGGCACTAGCTTAGATGCACGAACGCCACTGAGGGCGTGACTGGGCCATGTCTGAAAATGTCTCTAACCAGTGGCCCATCTCCGGGTTCTCATACAGGAAGACGGCAATGACCAGCGCGATACAACTTCTGAACACCAAAATGCCTCACCCGATTAATTACAAGGTAGAGCGACAGATGATACGGCGTCTTGTGTTGGAGGTGCAATCAAAGGCTAAGTTTAAGTCATCATAAGCTGTGACACAAGATTTTGTTGACGAATATTAAGCTTTACTGACAGTTTCTTTTTCTAACTAGCACTATAAATTGATAGCTGGGACGCTAACCAGTTTGTGGCAGACCTAATTGCGTTCAACACATTCAGTGGTCGAGCCAGGCCGTCCTTTTCAACTTCATTGTTGACATCTTACCTGAGTTTTTTTTCACCAGGCTGTAGCAGTATAGTTTTCTTACTGATCCTAGGTAACCATGCACGGGCACAGAATGTATTTGTGATACTCTTTTTGGACCAAGTAGCCCAGAACTGTAAATATTTCCGATATACTGTCTCAGCCGGCTGTTCACTGTGAAGTGCAATGTAATACTGCTAGTTAGTTGGGTTGTCCACTGCCATCTAGGAACGAGACACTGACAGACGTGGGTCGATTGTGTCTCCGTACGCAAGCTATTGTTCAAAATCCATGTCATCCGAATTGCCGTTGCGTGATAAGGGGCGACTTGATGAAAGACTAATGCTTGCAGGTTATGATCACTGTAATATTGTTATCACCCTTAAAAACTGAAATGGACAAACTCAATTACGTAGAATAGGCACGAACTACGAATTGGTGGCGTGTTGCTCATAGTCACATTTCGTGTGAAATGGAGCTTTACTGCATCCGTAATCCGTGTAATAGGTTGCAGAAACGTTAGGTCCACCCTTTTTTGTGATCCGCATGCATTTTCGCATGACTTAACAAATAATCAGTGACGCCATAAATATCGAGCTCTCTCTTGCTCTTAGTATGTTGGTGTTTCGTAATCTTACTGATTATTTCAAAAATATTCCTCTTGCGGAGCTCTGCGCACGTAAACCAGTCAGTCTACCACAGAAATGGATTATAGAACCTAGACGGAATGCTGATCGCTGTTGTATTTTACTTTAAACTGGGTACTGACTTGCTTACACAATATGCCTCCCAACCCGAAGTTTACTTTTGTTTACATCGGAAATTCGAGTGCTTTTCTGCGTTTTCGGTTGAGTGTCCTCCCGTCCGAACAAACGCCTCAGGGAACTAGTGTTTTCGTTTTGTAGTGGGATGTGCTGCGAGAACTCTTCTAATGTCAGTCAGCTGACGCTGCCAACCACCTTGAGTGAAAGGCTTCCAGATAACTTCCGTTGGTGACATAACATCTATCAAGCTGTGCACAAAGTGCTGTCATCACGGGTGCCCACTCTCCCAATTCCTGTTTAGTTGCGTGGTTGAATTGCTAATGAGACGAACGCTGGAAAATCTTTGAACCCCTGATGTTCAGATATCTGCTGACGAACATCTTGTTTATCTAAGCTATGCAGCATATCTTTGAACTTCGAGGGGGTGGATATCAAGCTACAGTGCGGGATGTTTTGTTGTATGGCTGTGAGACGTAGCCTATTCGAGTAGCGGGACTGAGGCGCTTTCAGGTGTTCGACAACTGCTGTCTCAGAACCACAGCTTACTTCGAGGGGTGGATATCAAGCTACAGTGCGGGATGTTTTGTTGTATGGCTGTGAGACGTAGCCTATTCGAGTAGCGGGACTGAGGCGCTTTCAGGTGTTCGACAACTGCTGTCTCAGAACCACAGCTTATGTAGCTTGGTGTTGACGAATCCGTTACGAGGGAATCAGAAAGCGAGTGTTCGGTTGTGTAGCGGAGACGTCCATCGAACAGTGTATCCAGCATCGGAAGCTGCGTTGGTTAGACCGTGTATTGCGCATGCCGAACCGTCGTTTGTCAGGAAGGATGCTGTTTTCCGTCCTCAATACGAAGTGGCGGAAGCAGAGGTTGGCAACTTTTGGTCTGGCGGAAGCTATGAGATTACGAAAAATCTGTGTACTGTTGGTGCCACTCGCCTTCCAGGATGGGGGCTATGAGATTACGAAAAATCTGTGTGCTGTCGGTGCCACTTGCCTTCCAGGATGGGGACTGCGTTATTCCTACTGGGCTGTAAACTACGACTGCTAATCGACGTCAATGGGGTCCTTGTTATCACTTCAAATCCAGATTGCCTGAACGAGTGTCTGGAGGTGTAGGTACCTCGGAATGATTGTAGTCGGCTAACTTAAGTCCCCTTAAATGCCCACTTTTATTCTCCGCAACGAGGGTTTCAAATAAATCATGGTTGTTCTGCGGCGAAGCATTAGTGTCGAAAATTGATGTATTCGAGGCACCCATGTAATCCTATCTCTCGTGTGTGACGTCCGCAATTCAATTGGATTCGGTTTTACCGAACAGGTGGTTGTAATTTGCAGGCACGTAAAGCCAGTGTGTGCGATTACTATGCAGTGCCGCATGGTCACTGTAGAGAAGAAGTCGCTAGTTTGGCTGAGTGTTGTATTGTCTGTTCCGATAACTTGCTATAGTTGATCCAGTCGTTTTAGAATTTACCATGAGCAAGCGTGTTTAATAATTCCAGTGCATGGTTGCGGCGTGGTTCTTAGAGATTTTCGTTAAAAGTTCCCGCTCTTTGTTTATCAAAACTGCCGCAAAACAAGTTCATGATAGTCTAGTTAGAAGAGGAAATTTGCTGTAAGCTTCAACTGGCGATATCGGTCGTACATAAAAGAAACGCGAGCAGATTGGGTGCCAGCAGATGTTTTCACCTCCAGACATTCGCTCGGACCACGTAGGAGGAAACCGACAACAGGGAGGACAAATCGGTTAGCGGCACAACAGCATACACTGAGAACATAGTAAGTAGAACATTTTGAGGAAAAATTATATCTAGGACCACGAGGCTGACATGATCATTTCCTGTTAGACCGTCACTTCCGAGTTTTGTTCAAAGTAATCAGATTCCACTCCATTGGACTTCGGCTTTTTTTTACCAGCACGATAAGTAAACACATGTTAATCTTTGATGTTTCCAGTGATGATGAACAGGAGCACTCATTTGGACAGACCCGCTGCATAATCTGGTGTTGATCACCAACTTTCTGTATTAAATTACTGCGAATCAGGGCGTCTTCAAAGTTTATCAGACGGTCTTCACACTTCTTGCCTCTGAAATTTCACATCTTGCAGTTACATTCACAGTTCACTCAAAAGGTGAATGCCTTTCCTGCGTGAACAGTTGGTAGGATTTAGTCAAATGAAATCCTCTGGAATGACGTGTGATATCATCGTTAGCTTAGCCGCAGTGATCGCACTGTGACCGCTTTCAAAACACTTCGTTATTGGGTTACTTGTAAGTAGTCACGACCTTCAGCTGGTTTGTATCCCCAATCCGCTCAGTGCCGTTGGCGTGGGCACACATCCGAGTTTCGTTTTATCTGTGTGCAACCCGGCTCGCTAAATTCTCTTTCGGAATCCGTTGGTCAGTAACGTGCGGAAGTGTTACAACGTTATTTACTATGAACCGGAATTACCTGCGACCCAAATGTATTAAATAAAGACTGACAATTTCAGACAGGTGCACTGGCTCCGGTTGCCTGCGCGATATTTAAAAAAAAACAAGGGGGGATTTTTATCTACCAATTAATGAAAGGACAGAAAACGGCCTTTATAGTATTTTGAGTAAGGTGTTGAGTCCGCACTCACTGGGAAACATCCTACAAGTCATTTCGCGTGCCATCAAGCGAATTTCGAGCTTGAGATGACATTTACCCACCAGATTGTTAATTATAGAGCCCAAATACCCCCTAAGTGATGACTCTGAAACCATACTGCTCTTCGCATAGGATTAATAAGACGACCAAGTTTCCACGAAATTTAACGAACGTGAATTCTAACAAAAACTTCGTTGCACTGTGTTCGTAATCCGGAGTATATCGGGTGCATGTTTTGATTATCA